GCAACGGCAATTGGTAATATTAGACAGTTATTAAGACTTAATAAGGAAACTGGGGGAAAAAGGTCTACTGCGGTTAGTGAGACCATAGCGGAGAAGGACAGATCTGCGATGGACTCGCAGGGAAGACGACTGGAACGATGGGCAGAACACTTCGAGGAACAGGTTATCTGGCCTCCAGACACCATTGTGTCGCCCGCTATCCAGTCGGATCCTAAATGGAACATTGAGATAGGTCCCCCAACACTAGAAGAATTTGAGAAAGCGGTAGGTAACCTGAAAGGAGGAAGGGCAGCAGGACCAGACGGACTACCTGGTGGTAGAGTGCTCTTGGTCAGGTCAATGGAAGTGTTAGCAAGTATATGACAATCAAATACGATCCCCTCTGGCTGGTCTGAATCACTGATTATCCCAGTCCTCAAGAAAGGCGAGAAGTCCTCTTGTAATAATCACAAAGGAATCAGGCTGACGGACATAGTGTCTACGATTCTAGGTTCTATAATTCTTTGACGCCTGATTAGAGCTCGGGAACAACAAGCCCGAGAAAACCAGACAGGCTTTAGACCTGGCCGCGGTTGTATCGATCAAATATTCACACTGCGACAGATTTCGGGACACAGCCACGCTTATCGACGCCAGACAATAGCTGTATTTCTCGACTTGAGGATGGCAGCATTAGACTCTGTTGACCAAGAAGTCCTATAGCAATGTCTCTCACTGAAATGCGCGCCAAGTAAGTACATCACCTTATTGAAGGCTCTATACTCGAACACTTGTGGGCGTGTTAGAGCCTATGGTGAGATGTCAGGTGAGCTGTACTTATCGAGTGGCGTCTGTTAAGGGTGCCCACTCCCTCCATTCTTATTCCACTTCATTATAGACATTCTTATGAAGGTCTCCCTCCGATCATCTGATTACACTGAGGTTGACCTAATCACAGAAGAATTTGCATTAGAACAAGAATATGCAGATGACCTAGTCCTTTAGGTGAAGACGCTGACAAGATTCAAAGTCTTCTGAACACTTTGAGTAGTAATTTGAGAATGTTTGGGATGCGTTCCTCATCACCAAAATGCGAATTGCTGCTCCAGGATTGGTCTTCAATGGTCCCCCACCGCGGGACTGCGAAGTCATCGACAGAAATCAACAAAGGCATCATCCTACCGTACATAACAAATATATCAGAAATTATGACAAGTTTGTTGAGATCACTTGCAAGTGATATGGCTCATAAATCAACAAATTCCTCCAAAACACTATTATGCAGACCAAACGACGCATCAACCAAAGGAGATAGACCGAATATCATTTACAAAATCAACTGCAATCTCTATTTCCAACACTGCATTGAACAAAGTGGTCGCCCACTTCGCCGACGTCTACTTGAACACTAATCGACTAATAAACGTCATGACATTTCATCACTCATTTCAATGCACATGGATAACAACTAAGGATATGAATTCAATTTCAACAATGTGGAAATTTTGAACAGAGGGAACACACAGAGTATCAGGGAATTTGTAGAAACTTGGCATTCAGGTCAGTCAGCAATCAGTAGATGTAAAGACATAGAGACAGTCTATCAACCAATGAGAAAAATGATGAATGACAGAATGTTCAGAGGTGGAGGAGAGAAACAGCCAACAGGAAAATCTATGCAGTCAATAACGTAACAGTTAAAGGAAACAGCTAATCACAAACCAGTTTGTTAGAGCAAGCTACTAAGTCACTCATGGAGAGATATTGACAGCTTTCTTCATGCAGAAGTTATTGATGCTGATGTCGTCTTGCAAGCTCCATGATTAAACAACCCAGTACTCAATAGAACCAAGACAGATATGATAACAATGTATGAATTCGGCGATATAAATTCTGTTCTTAACCTATTTTTATTTTTATTACCTCATGAAACGTTTATGCCCACATTATTTCTTGATTTTTTATTTTTATGCAGTTGTTTTTCTTTTATCAATCTTTGGATTGTTATAAAGAAGACTAGTACACTGTTGTGTGAGCATCTACGTGGTTTTATCTGCTTGCCTGATGATGGCAACTGTTTCTGAAGGTGATGTCAGTAAAATTTTGAACATGTCATCAAGAATGGATTAGAAATGGTTAATCTATTCGAAAAATTGACTGATAAATTTTGTTATTATTCGTTGATACCAGTCATATATTCTTCACTGAAAGTTGAAATGCAATCGGATTCTATTGAAGCTGTACCTTCTTCAGTCTCTGGGAGTACCGTAGAAACGTTTTGTAATATAATACAATCTACAACATAAGTTGCAGGAACTGTCAACGGTACTATGGTAGCCAATCCACTCGTCAAATAAGCAAAAGAATTTATGATCACCAAACTGCAGTCAAACCATATAAATGTAGATAAACACAACTTCTATTCATACAACGTGTAAATACTACAGCCAGCAGGTTCAGAAACTGCAAGACAGTTCTCAGAAGCATGATACTTCTACTAAATGACAGCCAGAAGACACACGGACTAACATATACGGATCAGCCAACTAGTAATTAGCCATGCAAGCCAATATTTAGATATTAAGTCAAATTATAACAACTATAACACAGCTCACCCTCTGATAAGAATTAAGAACGGGTTGCTTTTACCCACAAACCTGTAAGGATCAATGTTGGCAAATATCCTTTACAAACGTTCCTGAAACTAAAGCATATCCAAATGACATCACTTTACCTGGTGACATCCAATAGCAAACCTCTAGGATCTGGGAGCACTGAACAACTATCATCCTCCCTCTAAATTACAAATCTTCTTTATTATAGCCTTTGATGTATAAGTTTGACTGAAAGTATAACTAATGTTGTACTTGCAAATTGAGTAGGTGCAATTACTAATTAGTGATGCCGAATTAAGTGCTCGCCTGATTGGTTGACTGAATTGAATAGTTAACTCAGGATTTGATAAGGATTTTGTGAAGATAGATCATTTCATTTCGTAGACTTAATAATGTACCAATGAGAAGTACGGCCAGCCCGAGTCGAAACTGACTAATTTAGTCAATGATCTTTGAACATATCATAGAAAAAATTTGAACCAATTGGCACTAAGTATCATGTTGCCTATCCAGGGCACGAGTAGGTATCTTATAATATCATGTTATGAATTTATAAATCACTTACTATTCCTTCCATATTTTAATAGTTCCCTAGAACCTATCCATTTGAATTATGCGGTAAAACTAACGAAATAATGTATTAGTTGTTGCATCTACTAACGCTCTTTAGACAGACAAATCGGTTACCATTGGCTGGTGATTGGAGACATCTATTCCTCTAATACTGAACCGTGATCTAAAATAATTCATCACCTTTGCAATGTCACCACTAAGCTAGGTGATATGATATTACTCTTGACTACTCACATCAAAATACAGTACACCGCAGTGTAGCATCACTTAACTTAGTGGTTATATTGGAAACTTGACCAACAGGACTTAATTATTGCTGAGTTCTATGAACTTAACAGTAACATATGTTACTCAATGGTGACCAGTTGTTGCACTTGATCTAACCCTACATGGAGTTAGTTATGGCCTAAATAGCCTAATGGCACAGTCTCTGAATTGTGCACTGAGTAACATGGATCCAAAACCCTAAGGCTACACTGCTTTACTCATGGCCATAGATCTGCCCTTCTGATGTATTCAGCATCTCCTACTGAGTGACTGCTAACACCAAACCCAGTTTAGACATAAGCTTTTTATTTTATTTGTTCAAGAAAAGGTTTTCAGGTGTTTAAGGTTATTTGTTGTGATAATATTCTTATCTGAGATTAAACTAAACAATTATGAAGTTAAAATGTTTTTACAATTTAAAAGATGAAGTTCGTCAACTGGCATTTAGTCTGTGTTATTGATTTGAAACAATGTTACACAATGACAGACTATAATTTTATATGTAAATATGCTATGAAATTCCAACTGTTTTAGTAACCTGTCTAAGGTAGCTCTTAGTTTGCCCTATAAACTTGTTTTATTATTTACATATTTCACTTAAATATATCTTGTTACCTTCTTAAGCTATGAGTAGTATTTTATTTTCTAGCTCCGTCATTTTTGTGACTAGTGACCCATCGGTTAAACCCACTTGTAGAATGTGGATGTTCTCATTTTGAAAACGTTTAAAAATGGCATATATATATGCATAATTATTCTGAATCAGGTTGATATTCATCACGAACTGAAATCAACTGGAGGGACATTGGTAACCAGGGAGTACTGGACAGCTGTTTTGTCCTAGTACAGGAATCAGAAGTGCGCACTCATGACACCGTCCCATCAGGGTTCAAATCCAGTACCTCAGGTTTCGCAGCCAGGACATTACCACTGAGCCACTGAGTCAGAATCCTACGGTTCATATTTCCTACTTCTGTTAGTACACGTTATAGTGTGACCTCCATTCAATGCTATTATTGAGTAACTATCCTCATGTTCGACTTGGTTGAATAACTTTTGTCATTCTGCCAAAACAAGACAAGTTTCTATTTCAGGATGTGAACTATTTTCTCTTCTTTGCTCCATCGCACCGTTGAACTTGTTAGTGGCTGGAACATTACATTAAAAGGATTACCGCTAGTTTGTATCGCATTGTAGTTCGTCAGAATTTAACACCTAGTTTAAATATCTCCCAGTATTCCAATGTAACGTGAAATAATCTAGTTGACAATGGAGGGGACAAGAGATGTCTACCAAATGAACAAGAGATAGATATATACACATTTTATTGGCAAGACTACCTAAGATGACCATGGCTGTCATACTGATCTGAATTTATCGAGCGAAATTTGAAGAAAAACGTGGGTCACCAGGCTACTAGAACTTTTATTCTTCGGGTTATCGATTTCATGAACTGCATATAACAAATCCAGGCAAGATCAAAGAGATATCAGCTGTAATTCACACAGTCCTATTCTCCCAATTCTTTTAGATGAAGTTAGTCAATATAAAAGATATAAGTGGTACTACGTTTTAAAATCTTTTTATTCAGATTGCACAAGTAATAAGTTAAAAACATAGGCTGGAAGTGTAAATAAGGAACAGGAAATCGAAAAAAACTTATTCTGCAATAAACGTTTTACCTTTTGCATATATACTTGACATGAGTAAGCCGGAGACAGTTACACCTTAGTTTTGTTACAGTGACATGATAGGTAAGTGGCTATATAGATAGAAAAAGTAGATAAAAGAGAGTTGTTGTTTAGCTAGTTGGGTGAGGAGAAGGAAGGCATAAGCAAGTAAGTCGTTTATCGTCGATTAAAGACGTAGACGATGACACTGACAGTAGAAAATAAAACAGTTCTAGATTCGATTATGTATGCATGCATATTTGTAGATATTTGGTTGCTGTCAAGTACTTTTGGTTAATTGGTTTCTAAAAGCATCATATATATATATATATATATATATATATATATATATGAACTGTTTTCATGATGACTTTCTTCTCTACAATTCTGAAAGAGAGGGCAGAAGAATAATGCCTCAGATTCATAAAAATTGTTGTCATAGTGATAGTGATTTGAAGTATATTCAATATATTTTCATCATTAAGTATTTTCATAGTTGAAGCGTTTATCACTATTTAGTTTCAATCTTTGATCCTAGTATTTACCTACATTAATAAAGTAGTAAGTAACTGGAGCCAATTTTTTCTCATCTCCAAGCTTTTCTACACTTTCTCCCTGTTTTTGTAGACTTGTGCCTAGCATGATTTGATTTGTTTGTATGTTTGCTTGTTTGTCTAAGTCATTTAAACAAGACTTACTTTCTCATACTTAAGCATGCTCATCTGTAATATGTTGAAATGGAAAGCGGAAAATCACAAACAGATAAACAAAGTTTACTGAACAAATAGTTATTATCATTATAAATAATTTATCAGCGAATAGGATAAGATGACACTCAGTGTTATACAGACTTTACATTGAAATACCTTGAAAGAAAGTGTATGGTGAGACTGAGATAATAAAGCCGACAGCAACACTAAATAATCTGCATTTTGCTTTCTTATTTTTTTGCATGTAACTGTGTTTAAGTGTATGCATAGGGAAACATAAATGAAGTATACGCTAAGGGTTATTAGCAATGATAATAAAAAGAACATTGACACTATCACTACAAATGTTACTAATAATGAACTCAGTAACACGATGAATAAACAAGCGAAGATTCCTGAAGCTATTCGGTGTGATTTTCATTACTTAAATGATAAAGGAAATCAAAATAAGACAAGTGGTTTCAACTGTATTGTCTGTAAATAAGTAAATCTTGCTTTCTTCTGTATTGAATGATAATACTAATACTAATAATATTCAGGTTTAGGTGGATGAAGTAAGAAACAATTTCCGCGAATTTAATTTGTCGTCTGACCAATTCTAAATTTAACTGGACGCCAACCAGATTCTGTGGTGTTGCTATTCATATTGAAAGGCTGATTTGAACTAACCCCATCGTTTGAATTGATGTTGCTATTATCGTTATGATTACCATTATTCAAATGTCCGAAATCTGTATCTAAAACAATTTGTGAAAATGAGAAGAAAAATAATCGCAGAAGAAATGTGATTATTCACCTAGATCGGTCCAAATATATGATAAAAAAGCTCTAAAGTTACTGTTAGACACGTTATGTAAATGAGAATATAATAAATCTACAGAAGCAGGCAAATGTGAATCATTGCTTTCCTACTCAGTGACCCAGTTGTAATAAGCTTACTGAGAAAACCAAAGGATTAGATCCCTGTCGGATTCATGTGTGTGCATTGATGAGGAACCAATAATTCGGACAAAAGCTCTATTTAATCCTCTCAGGTCTTCACTGTTTCTCCAACTGACATCCGTGTGTCATGAATGACAACTGGAGATAATTAAGTAATGAACAGTTTGAAGGGATCCGAATTTGTTCGCTCTATTCGAACAAGTGGTCGTGTTTAAATCTTGTATTCTTGAATTTTCATTATTTGATTCATCTGTGGTAACGAATCATCCTTTCATCTATTTATGTGTATTTTGTTAAATACTTCGATATTCACTAAGGCCAATTACTCCAAATACAGCTATAAATAAGATCTTTTTAGATTGGAATTGATTCATATACTTTGACAGATACCTCAAATTGATAAACTTCTGCATGCATGAAAAGAAGTCACTGAAGTTTACGAGCTGTTCCAGAAACTGATAGGTTTATAAATCCCTTAATTACTTCACATAACATTTTTGCTTTATATGAACCATTCAAGTTGTAAAGAATCCAACCATGAAGTGTAGCCACACAATTTAGCGAAGAATCAACCCGCTGTTGACAAGTTTTTCTCTGAGTATTATATGAAGAATGAAAGATTAATTACCTGGCTGTTGAATGCTCATACCTCCGAACAAACTAAGTGTGTGTTTTATTAGTTTTATTGTCTCACCAATAGTTAACCAATACTTGCCATCTATGTTTCTGATTAAGGATACTATAGTACCTTCATTTTTATAGGAATTAGCGCCACAGTTATTTTGCATGAATTAAAAGTTTTTAAGGGTTACTAAATTAAAGGATATAGTGGTGTTGACATTTTGTTAGCTTATCAAGCAAAAAATAAGGTCAATTATCTCCATATTATTTTAGTACGAAAATTTGACAGCGTACCTAAGATTGTCATTATGCTTAGTTAAATTTACACCAAAAAAACTTTTCTTTAAAAGATGGTAACTACGGTGCTAAATGATTGTCAGCCACTCGTTTGCTATAAAAACCTATTTTAACCATTGCTTATATGGTAAACCATATAACAGATGACAACTGTTGTTATCGTTGTTTCGATAGACGTCATCAGGCATGTGAATTCAGTCTACGAATTCCAACTAGTTAGTTTCATCTTCATAATGCAGTGCATTCACAGGTTTTCATACCGGGCGCTCAAATGTTAGTGAAAAAGATTATGAGCTTCTGGTGGACAATTTCAATAAAGCAAGATCAACCGCATTCAAGAAATCCAAAAATACTCAGATTAAGAAGTTCAGCAAACTTATGGAAGAAAAGCATGCAGTCAAAAGTAATGAAATTAACAATAGCATATCACCGATTATCGATTAGTCAAAGTGGGTTGTCAATCTCTTAAGTAGAGCTCAACAGCTCAACAGAAGTGAAAGTGCTAGAGAAAGGTCTTAACTTCAATATAGCAGTTAATTAGTTGGAATCAGAAGATTTCACTCCCAAAATAGAAATAGCGTTTTGTTCAATAGACAAGACAATTGCAGATGAGGTAAGAGCACAGTATGCTCTGACACTAAAACGACAGAAGAAAATGGAATCTAATTTACCCAAGCCAGAGAGAGAAGCTCTCAGGAACCTTCAAAATGATAACAATGTAGTAATTGCCAAATCGAGGGAAAGCAAGTAAACAGTTGTAATGAACAAATCTGACTACATCTAAAAAGTGAACGAGCATATAGAAACAGGACCACATGAAGAAATTAAGCAGTCAGTGGACACTATTATGAATAAGGTCAATAAATGGACAAGGGATCTGATACGCCGGGTGAAGCCATTTCTAGGTGAGTCAAAGTGGTTTAATTTAATGCCGAAAACTAATAATCCCAGTAGAATGTATGGTACTATTAAGATTCATAAGCCAGGTTATCCCATCAGGCCTATAGTAGATTTTAGAAACACTCCAACTTACGAGTTGTCTAAATATTTAGCAATGGTGTTGGGCCCAATAAGAAATCACTCAATCTCTCGTGTTTCATTTCAATCAGAATGGTTCGCAAAAAGTGGGGAATAATCTTAATTAGGGTCCATTGGTAAATAGTAGGTTTTCAAAATGTAATTTAGGAAATAATAGTACTTACTTCTGTTTGGAGTGATTGGTACAAATGGCTTTGGTGTAGAACCAATTAGGTTTTCCGATTGCAACGGTGGTGATGGTGCACGATCTGTAGCCAGGGAGATACTCGGTTTTCCGTACGCTTCTGTTTCTCCATTGCTTTGATTAACTATCACTGGTGTAACAGGAGCTTGTTGTCTTATTTGTAGCTGTTGTTGTGGTTTTGATTGTGCAAGCTTTGAAGTCATTTTTACATGAGCATAACTATTCATTGTTGGCCCTGGACCAGATGCCACGGTTGCATTCATTCTAGTCCCCGAATCATCGTCTTCTGAGTTCTGAGCATCCCACTTTAAAGCTCTGGCATGACGCTTAGCAAACATTTTAGCTCCGCGACTATCAGATGTGTACAAAGCTGAGGCGATATCAAAACATTTTTGCGGATCTAAATCTGAATGTGTATTTTTTGGGAAAATTTTAATTTTTTCTAGAAATTCTTGGACTGTTTTCGGTTGTCCAGGTGTATAGACCATGGGTGGGGGTGGTGGGATGTTTGATTTTTTAGTTGGTTGAAGCCCAGGAAAGCTTGGCGGTGGGGGAGGTGGAGGCGGAGGTGCTACTGGTGGTGTCATATATTCCAACTCTTCAGGACTTGCCTTAAAAGAGATAGAGAAAGTATCTGTAGATTATAAAATTATTTCTGGCAAAGGTTCAAATGCAAAGTAATTTAGGACTTCCTAACTGTTCAGACTTATAAATAGGGCTAACATGGGCAGTGGTACAAATTCATTACGCAAATATTCTTTCAGAATAGCATAGTATTACTATTTATGCTATCATTATTATCAGTGATTGGCATATGCGTGTGGATAACGAACTACCTATTCAGCATTTCCTGTCTTTCCTTTCCTTCTTTAATTTTTTTATGATAATTCAGTAGAATTGTGACATCAAACTCATCATTCAGGTTTATTGAACGTATCAAACTAACAGAATATTCAGGATAATTGTTAACCATTCTCCAATTATAGAGGATGATTGTCCACCTTTGAAATGAAATATGTGCAACAAAATTAACTTTGAATGGGTTACGTAAATATCAAGGATTCTTCTGGTATTTGATAAATTAATAAACATATTTAGAGCTCACAATTGTCTGATATTCTCTTAACTCTGCAGTTTGTTCTTGAACGTGTCATCACCAGACTTGGTGACTACGTCAATACCTACTTTACAAAGAGTTATAAGAAAGTAAGTGATTGTTTTACCGTAAACTTTAATATACCTATAAAAAGTAGGTCACATTGGACTCATTACTCAGTAAATGAAAAAGATAAGTAATTTCTCTAATAACCAAAAGCAGTAGAAGGGATTTAGGCAGGGTATTTGTTGGAGTGTTTGTCATAAATGATACTTTGCAAAGGCATTTTCACCAAACTGGTACATCATATATGAGCATCAAAAATCATGAAGTTTATCACTATTCCAGTAATGATGACAGTATTGAAGTTAGAGTTTTAATCATGGTTCTCATGAGAACTAGAATTTCAAGGTATGAACTGTCATCAGAAGTGACTATCTACTGCCTAATAGGAATCGTTAATTATTAACAAACAACGGCTAAAGTTTTTATGTCGTAGCTGCACTGTTGCATGGAAGTATACGAATCTTTGAAGATTATTGAATTTCTGAATATTTATTTAGCAGCAATAAGTTGAAAACCTCAGTAAGACAGAAAAAAAGGGGACGTAACTGGATTGTCTTCTCAAATACTGACAGATTTCGTTATCTATCAAAGTTACTCATATGAGGTTACAAATAGCATTATACGATATTGAAGCAACGGTCGTCCAGTATTACTAATAAACATCTGTTTTCAATTTTGACTTCGTTGACGTATTTGGGTACATTATTTTTGGGACGTTAATTTACTTGAACATAGTTTGCTTCGTGAATATGATGGTACCTATCGTCGAACGGAAATGAAACTGATTTCACCAAGCCGTGTTGAGGAGTCCTTAACTAGAATAAAATAACTATGATATAATCACAACTTTATCAATCTCATTCAACAGCTATATGAAGACGCCACATGCCGAGTGATTCACAGTGGAAAGTTCAGTGAAACCTTTGAATTGAAAACAAGAGTAAGACAAGGCTGCCGCCTACTATTACCGATGATATTATTGATTGTGGTGGACTGGATCATGCAGCAGACAACTGTGAGGCTTACGCTGGCTGGACCGAGGAAAAGACCCCAGAAGCAGATTCAGATTTCGCGGACGACTTGTGTCTAATATCGCACAAACTCGAAGATCTACAGGCGAAAACAAACCAGTTGACAGAAGAGGAAGAGCAGCGAAGACAGAACTTCAAGTGAACGTAGAGAAGACGAAGGTGATGAACATATACAACCAGGAACAGCATCAACAACAAGCACCAGTCATCATCAACGGGAAAAACTTAAAAGTAGTCTCTTTCATCTACCTGTCTAGGCATCGATTCAACTACAGGCGGCAGAGACAAGGACGTCAAAGCCAGGATCGGAAAAGTAAGACAGGCTTTCATTAATCTGAAATCAGTATGGAGACCTACTGCACTCAGCACAAAACGTGAGCAACATCCAGATTTTCAACACTAATGTCAGTCAAGTCAGTGCTTTTATGTGATGGTTGGGAACTTAGCGTGTTACGGAAAGCATTTCCAACAAACTGCAGAGATCATACATCAACAGCTGCCACCTACGCTCACGCGATACTGAATATCAGACGGCCAGAATAATAAGAATAAGCAAGAAGGAACTGTGGCTGGCTGGCAATGAACCAACCAAGAACCCATTGCCCAACAAGTATGCAGAAGAAAATGGAGATTGATTGGATTGGGCACACACTGAGAAGGCCGACTGGGGACATGACACACCAGACCAGGCCGTCGAGTGGAATCCACAGGGGAAATGACGAGTTAGGCATCTAAGCCAAGGGTGACATGGTGGAGATCATGTGAGGAAGAAATGAAAGGTTGTGGGCAGTCGTGGAGCCTGGTTCAAAAGACTGCGGAGAACTGAGTGCAGTGGAGGCGTGCTACTGAAGTCCCATGTTCCACTAGGAACCCAAGGACAAATAATAACGATATGTTCACTGGTTATTGAATACTATTCAGTAGATTATCGTTGGTTATGAAAATTATCATCGAACTAAATATTTTATTTCTGAAAAACATGTGAGATACATGCAGAACTTACACACTGTGTAAATAAACAGTTGTTTCTAATTACTTTGTCATGTGAATAAGATATAGCACTCAGTTATTTACTTATTAGTCTATGGAACAAGGAAATTTAAAGGTTAGTTTTTGTCACGACATCCGGTAAGTATTTATCGTATGACTTTTTTAGGGAGTCTAGTGAAGCGAAGGTTCAGTATATTTTTATAGTCAGATTTATTCACACACCGATACCTGAACCTTTATCGGGTTTGAGGATGATTATGTGAGATCTTTTCTGTAATTCTTTCGAAGATATGGAGTACTGTGAATTCGAAATGCCTCTTTATTTTGTCAAAGAGAGATATTAACTGATTTAGCCTTTCAGTAATTTTGATTATTTAAAGATGTTGCAACGAGAGGATTAAACTAATCACAGAGATTTTCAAATTGAGTATCAATATCCAAATAAGAAATTTTCATGTTTGGAAAAGAAAAATTAAATCCAAAAGAAAATCCCTCTTTCTCATTAATTAAAATGACAACAGAGAACAAATTAGTCCAGATCACAATAAAATGAGTTTACATGAATATTATGCTTTGTTCTATCCTTCGTTTAACTAAGAACAAAACTTAAAAAAACTTATGAACTTAATGTGACAAACAAAAGAAATATTCAACAGAACAGATGAAACATAAGTATACTTTTAGTTAAATTGTATAACGTATTGCAATTATTGATATTGGATTTCGTAAACCGAACGGGATTTGAAAGATTGGATTGCAATTCAGTGGATCGTAATATTTTGTAAAATATTCGATTTATAAAAATTTCAATTTTACTTTCCCACCTTTTTTTCCCCTTTTCAGTCCTCTTTTTCAATCCTCTGTAGTACTTTCAGTTAATGAGAAAGAAACACTTTTTCTTTGATTTCCTTTTTCATTTTCTCACATGAAAATTTCTAGCCTGGATACTGATGACAAGTTTTAAAATTCCTATGATCGATTGAGTCCTTTTATCCTAGAATCTTGAGATAATCAGAGTTGGTTAGTGGCTAACTTATTCGATATTGCTCATCGGTTCATTATATATTATCAAAATATTTTAACAATTCACTTAACCACTAAAAGTGTACCAGTGATCATATGATACAATAGTAACACGCTATCCAGCCAGCTGGATTCATTTGTTCCGAACATTTTGACTCTTTGAGCTGAATTTCTCCGAAATACTTTGCTGATTAGCTGGACACCGTCTGGTGTTTATATCATACCGAAATGGCTGACGAGATCTGGAAAGCAGCATGAGTGATTTCTAACTACTCAATTTATTCAGTAGCATATTCCATAATAACCTTCCACGCTGAGATTAAGAGATGTGTATATCATTCTAATTATGATAACTACTAGAATTAAATATGATTGAATTCGTTCAGTATTAAGTAGTAGTGAAATCTTCAGGATGTGTTTCATTTAAAATCTTTTAGGGAAAGCATCTTAGAATAATACCCTTAAAACAAAAGTTGATCCCATGATTCAGTGGGTTATTGGACAACTTTCTGATTGTTAGAGCGATGAGTGGTAGAGTTAGAGAGTCAGTTAAGAAATTGCTAATGGAATGAATGTTTATTCAGTTGAATACTTAGAAATATACCCGAATCTTTGTCCAGAAATTCACTGGTAGTCACTAAAATACTCCCGACATCATAAGTAATGTGATTGAAAGTTCAGTTGAACAAGTAACACCATCAACGTTTGTTTATTGACACTTGCAATCTCCCACTGTCATACTGGATCTAACTGCTCAACCTCCGTTGTCATGAGGGCTCGTATGCGGACGCCTTGATACTACCTGAATATCCATTACGTTATAGTTTGCATAATGACAAGTGATGGGACCCTTGACGTGCGTTTACTCCTATCTGGAACTCACCAGTTGTATGTACCTGCAACCCAGTAAGTGATGGTGTCTCCACAGAGACTCGAACGTAGTGCCTATCACTTCAAACACCAAAGTGTTGTTCACTAAGCTACTGAGGCACAACAGCCACCTCTTGAACGACGGACATCAGTTGTTATTTATTGAAACCTGTAGTTCCTCCTTGTTTTACTAAATCTAAATGACCAACCCCCACTGGTAGATGGATATATCTTCCATTCTGCCAGAAGCCATCAAGTAAACTTTCATCAACTTTTGTTGAACATTTGAAGTTTCCAGTCATCTACTAGATATTCTAGAACCTTAATATTCTCACATTGGCAACAGAAAAGAGAAGTCTTTATGAACTGTGGTTTTGACAGCGGAAGCAGTTCAAGCATGGTAAAATTATCAGCACTGATTTCATGTAGCCGTGGAAGATGTTAACAAGTTACATGAATGCAAGTTTAGTAACTTTTTTGGTTCCGCTTGTAACTGAAAAAAATCTCTTCCCTTATCCACAAAAACAAAAACCTAAGGCCAAGATCAAAACCGCATAAACATTGATACGACTTGTTGACTTCTGTCACTTCTGCATGAAGTTAGCGCTGGTCGTACCTCTTAGTCTGGTGGTGATGAAAATTCAGTGATCAACCACCTATTTTGTGGTATTACAAAGTTTCCTTCATTATCCTGAGCTTCAAATATTCTGTTATAATGATGTTAAAATGAATTTGGTAACCTGAAGGGTGATTAGTGATAATTTGAATACGGTTTCACTAAAAATTCGGTGTCTTAGCATTCGATTTACTCATTCGTTTAAACGTATATAACTATTGGTGTATATGATATTACTATAAAAGTTGTACTCCTTATCTGTGATAAGTGTGACATTATTTCCCCTTACACGAGTTAATGTAACTGTCTAGTCATTAGTTTTCATAACTAATCGAAGCCTATCAGCCACATTTTCAGCATGATTATTAGGCTTAAGGATGCAACAGTGAAGTTCATTGAATTTTAACATAAGATACCAGAAGCGAGTCTGCAGAAAACACTGAACCTAGCATTGAGTTTGTTGATCATCGTTCCTTCTTTTGTCTTCCTACCGTCTAAGCCTCTTTGCAGTGGAAGTTTGATTGATAAACTGAATATAATATTGTCATGATTAGGTATTTACCGGAATAAAATCTCTTAATCCTTTTCTTAAAAGTCATTCGCTCCTTTCTCACAAAAAACACAATAACAATGTATTCTAATTTCACTAACCAGTTCAATAGGATCTGGTTTAGGTTCTGGACCTTCTTTAACGTGTTTTTCTGCTCTTTGTCTTTGCTTCTCAAACATACATGCACCTTTTGATTCGAGATTATATGGATCATGTAGACTATTGGCAACTCGTCTAGCCATTTGAATTTGTTCTTCAATTGTTGGATAATATTTTGTTGGATCCGAATAGAATGATGAATCAGCATAATTCTTTTCTAAAATTGAATGAGATAAATCACCATTTATTACAAGAACTTACATCACTTACAAAATAATTAAATCGTGCATTTACCACAAGTTTTATGAGATAACTGTTCATTATGAAGATAGCTTTCGCAGAATGGCATTACTTCATCGGTTGTATACAAAAAGGAGTTTTCTTTTGGGACTTGGCTAAGTTACACACTTTTCTTTCCTGATAAGTAGAAACTAAGACCGCCAAGTTTCTCCACATCAACGGTGTTATGTTATTTAGTGATTTAACCAGAATGCAGTCAATAACGTTTCTAAGTTTATTTACCTTGTGAAATATTTCCAGTTAGTTGATAGTGAATTTAAGCTTCTATCATGTACTAAAATTAGTCAGATAGATTGGTAAAATGAGGAAAGTTTGTAGTTCAAAAGGATGCCTTTTGCAGATCGGAGTATTGATAAAAATAATGGTTTACTACTGGGGTTAGTCTTTGATCTCTAAAGCTTCAGTAGTTCAGATTTCGTTTCCTTATTTCAGTAGTATTAGTATAATCTTATGAGTCGCTGAAAGTTACACGTAGTGTACATCAATTGGCTCTCATTCCTAATCGAAATAATTTCTTTAATAACAAGACTGAAATTCAATCAACAATAACTAACGTGAAATGATAGGAGAAAATGAAAAACGTTGAATAAATAACGTCTGAAAATAGTGTGCTCATTAGCGATTTCATCAAGGACCTCCAGTAAGCCCAAAACAGCTATCTCTTTCCTGGTCTTTATTCATGTCTCATAATGTAAGTCAGTGAACGGCGGTAATTCTGTGACAGCCTTAGTACATTCTAATTAATGCTTGACAAGTGCATAATTCCCAAAAAAAAATTATATTAACTCGACAATCATATTTTCAAATGGGATCTGTACTCTTTGAATCGTATCAGAAGCATTGCATGGGTTTACAGTTTGCGTGAATAATTCGGAAGTAGTTTAACTTGTGAAAGCAGTCAATTGTCCCTCACCGTTTCTTTTGTATAAGTATCTAGTAGTATATAAAATTCAGTTTCCTTACTCGTGCAGCATATATGAATCCAAACAAGGCACAGACGATACTAGCTATTATATATATATATATATATATATATATATATATATATATATATATATGTATCAATGAAAAACTTATATCCACGTTTATTGGAAATAACTCACTTTTCAGTTCAGGTGCAATCGGCGGCACATCAAATTCACGCATCAATTTTTTTACAGAAATACTTGCTACATCTGGATCATGAGGAATAATAGGTGGATCAAGTGATGGTTGTTTCACGGGTGGTGGGCGTGGTGGTTGTGGCTGTGAAGCTGGAGGTGTTGGAATAACCATAGGTCTTGGTGGTGGTACATGTATAGAAACTGAATGTGATTTCACAATAGGTGGAGGCTGTGGTTGTTGAACTGGTGGTGGTGGGGATGAAATATACTCCTGACGAGGTGGAGGGGGCCAGTTCCTGCGAGCTGGTTTAAGTGGGGTTTCTCTTTCCCAGAAGAGTTGTAATTCTGTTGTAGTAATTTCTTGAGGTTTTTGCTTTGAAAGTAATGACTTATTGTCCATATAAACTGTTTCTGTTCTTTGACGTCGTTCTTCATATCTTGAAACAATGGAAAGCAGTAAAACATATCTTGAAGTGTCAAAAAAATTTCTATTACACCTGATTGGTTACTTCGGCCTATACTCTATTCTATGTGCATTTCCTTCACATTTTTATGTGTACTAAGTAGGTACCAACTGAACCACTGACTTTCGTGATCAAACCAAGCTAAACCTACCATGCTGTTTGTACTGAAGTACGCATATTAAATGGTACCCACCAAAAGTATGCACTCCCGTCATTCCTAATTTTACCTTATCAAATATACGATTACGAGTGTCTTCCTTCCGTTATCGAACTTAAGAAGAATTATTTTCATCGATGAAGGTTCCTTATCTAATAGTATACAGATAACATAGTGACATGAGGTGAGAACAAGTAAATAATACAGCGCCTTCTAAAGTCTTTGAATGGCAGCTAAGGAATGTCTGAAACCACTTCTCATCACTGTCGAAACCCAAATCGCTCCTTTACAACTAGTCTGCTCTGATACACCGTCTGGCCGAAATGACTGCGAGAAGTGACTAATTTACTTACTTTGGAAGTCGAATCGACAGTCATGGGTTTGTGACCGAGGGAATTTCAGGAAACGTACAGAAAGGTTGATTAAATATCAGTGACATGCAACTGTCAATTAGGGTTGAGTGCAGTGCATAGTAGTTCATTCTATCATCCTCTGACTGGATAAAGTGATCACTAAAAGTAAAAGACATGACAAGGCTCCAGCTACTTGTCAGTTGTCTTCTCTGTAGCACTGTTGCTGTGTCACAAACAAGCACTGAATTAACATTCCCATATTCGTAAATTCGTGGTAATTTCGTTGTAAACCTTGATCAAGTGAAGTGACGGGTACTTGCGTAAGGCATTGAAAGCATTATCTACTAGGACGCACTGTTACTTAAAGCCTCGTTGAAACGTTTTTGAAGCCAAGTGCAGTCAGGTCAAGATATAGTACCAATCCATTCAACCTCCTCCCAACTAACATGGGCCATATAAAGAAGTGTAGAACTCCTGGTTGGTGATGGGAAGGCGTGAGACCGATGGTTAGTAAACTCTTAGCAGTACGGCTTCGAAGTCATTTGTATCGCTGTCTTTTATTTATGTCGATTTTACAATTAGAGATGTAGCGATTTCCTCAACTACGTATCAACTCCAGGTTTCATGCTTGTAAAATCTCTTCCCTGGTCTCTATCATTGGTCACGAACATGTAGCAGAGAATCTCTGAAGTAAAGTTTGTCTCAAATGACTCAAATCATTTATGTACATTTTTTGTTGTGTACTGAACATTTACAGTTTTCAAATTTTAAACACTATTTTGCATTTTAAAGGGGACAGTAAACTAGATAACTAAGCTCACTAAATAAGGCGAAATATTTCGTAAACTCCATAAACACTATTCTTTGATTGTGTTCATAAATTAAAACATTATTGCTTCGATACTTGTAATTTCACTTTGCTATACTGGGTCGAACTGTTCAACCTCTGTTGGCAGATGAGTTCCTACACGGATGCCCCGATACTTCTAAAAATCCATGATGGTACATTTATCTTCCTGACTAGTGAAATTCATGAGGCGTGTTTCCTACCATTTGAGATTCGTCAGTTGGATCTATTTGCTCCCTAGTGACGAGTGGTATCATCCTTACTAAGACTGGAATCTAGGACCCATTGCTTCAAAAGCCAAGGAGTTATCCACTAGGACACGAGAAGTACGAGAATCGTCTCTTGTGCAAAGGGAATCTACATGTTATTATTTATTGTTACTTGTAAGTCTCCGTTGTTCCTGATCCCAAGTAGGATGAAACGCGCGTTTTTAATTCCGTTGCTGACCACTAGCGAGGAAATTACAACATAACCAATAGTCAGGCAATGTTGAAGTTAAATCATATTGGCAATTTATAGCACACTATACCGGTAGCACTTTAGGAAGTTATGCTTAGCTTAGGTGAGAAACATAATGAAAAATCACATTGACTAGATCAATGAGAAAGTTCTAGCTTCTGGAAATTGAAAGAAATACATTTTTCTTTTTGGGGTTATTGGATTGTAGAAATAGTAAATGGACAACATCTGCTATAATGTTACCGTTAATTCAGAAATAATTTTTGAGTGTTTCATGAAACTAAAGTTATGTTTCTCCCAGTGTGGAAAGTAATTTTTTACGATTTTTTTGCAGTCAAGATTATCCATATCTAGTAACGTCAGAAAATACAAAACGTAGAACTACAGGTTTATATGATTATGTGTGATAGGTTATTATGCGAGAAACAAGGGGAAAACTGCTGTCATATCTTGTATCTGAAAGAGAAAGAAGTGTGGAATGCTTAGTCAGACTGAAGTGCTCCAGTGAATTTACACCTGAAATAGTATGTGGGACACAATATCGGTAGACTCCTAATTTTAGAAGCGTTTCGTGATTGTATATTTTTATGACATAAAACACAATGATGATTATTTTTCAATTGGTATTTCTTACTTGTTTTTTATATCTTATCTGTTGTTTTTTCAGTTGTACCTTAAATATGCACCGAAAAGGTGACTTTGGGATTCGTTTACTCAACATATTCATCAACAAATCCACAACTGCGCATAATTACAAATAAAAATTCATTAACACCTAAAGATTATGCATTGAAATCCATTCTTTCTTGTAAAAAATGGAAGTTATGAGTAAAATAAGTGATGTGAAATAGTGCTTTTATTGATTATTTTGTAGTATACTTGGTGGTTATTGGAGAAATCCAGGACATGCATTTCGCCCAATTTTTGACTCGTCAGTTTAGTATACCTTCAGTGGTTGATGTCTCCACTGAGAATCGAACCCAGCACCTATCGATTCACTGGGTGTAAGTACATCAAGCTTAGAAGTGCCAAATGCGTCATAACTTCGTTGCCAGCTATCGAAAAGAATGCGAAGTATTAAATATCCAGGAAGTGTAAAGGGATCCGCAGAGGCACTCATCTACCAGGATAGGTCAAACAATTTGACCCAGTACAGTCAAGGAAAGTTACAAGTGTCAAGAAACAACTTTCACTGAAATTTATAAGCAAACAGATTTTGTCTATAAAACCGTCAGCCAAATCAAACTCATACCTAAAGAAGCATATCTGATAAACTGGCTGAATACTTTAGCAACCAACCTCTTATATTCTAATGATGATAGTGTTTTATTAATCAAAGACAACTAATCAGTCTGACAACAATTGTTATGGGTGTTGGCTTGTAGTATGTTGAAAATGGTGTGAACTAAGATTCGTCGTTATCTTATATGCTGATGACCGGAAATGAAGGGAAGTCTAGTCTGTAAGAAGAATCGAACCAAAACACCTTGAGTTGTTGGTTGCTTCAGTCGGCAGTTATAGAAATGTGTTAAACACGATTGTCTGTTTTTCAAGACAATTTTTGACTAGCTAGATTCTTTTATTCCGATTAAAATTTATCTGAATTAAAATGAAGGAGTTAAAGAAAGATTTTGTAGTGGGAGTGGTACTGACTGGTGACCAACAGCTGAGTCTGTTTGACTGATCAACTGAACAGTGAACTGATGATCTGCAGGCTGTCCGTTAAAATCTTTGCCCAGACTGGGCTCTCTGTTAGCTTCAATCATTATCTCTGATTATGAACAAAAGAGTGTCAACTAAAGCCATGCTTAAATAATAGATTTATTTTTATGTACTTATTTCTTGACAATAAGAATTATGTGGCAAATATAATAAAGTACGCCACATGGGATATTACGTTATTTTTATGACTATACTTTTAACGAGCAAAACAGGAAATGATACTCATAATCAGAAGGTACGTGACAATTAAATAAAAATACGCCCAAATACGTTTCCACTACTTCAGTTCTTTTGACACTTATTACAGAGGATAAAGGAGAAAGGCAACATAATTATCCATAAATTTCAATTCTGTGCCGTAAACAATTACTCAAGATGCTTAGTTACTCAGTCACTCACTAACAGTCGACCAACCAGCAGGTTGCGAACTTATAACTAAAGTATACTGGTGTGTCAAATGACCACCGATGTTCGCGTTCAAATCGTCAACTAGTAGCCTGATTCATATGCATAGAGATTTTGGAAAAGGTTTTAAGTGTTTTCAAGGCTGAACTATTGGGATGCGTTGTACTGCTGACCAAAGGCACTTTCTTGACTTGAAAATGACTCAACAATGAATCAGTCAGCTTTGTGAGACAACTTCTGACAGGAAACTATTTAACTAATGAGGACGATTTAGATGAAATCTAAGTTGCACACAAATGTAGAAATGAGAAAGATGTTTGAAGAAGTTATTCATGACAAAACTGAAGTGACCTCAATGTATACTAACTGCTGTTATGAATTGTATTTGACTAATAATACTCACATTTTGCAGAATGACGGTAGCTAGAATAGGCTGAAACTTTCTGACTCATTAGATGGTTACAAATTTAAACCTAAGAAGCACACAAGCCCCTTTGTCGTCTTAGACGATCAGAATGGTTTCATATTCTACTTCATTTTGTCACCATCCTGAAGCCCACATGATGCATCCAATTTTAAATAAGACAGTTTCAACTGTTTCAGAAGAAATCTTGTTATCAGTATGACTATCTGAGATAGCCGTGGTTTTGACAAATTTGTATTAATACTGAATGATTATTGAAGGTAAAATTAAAATCTTGCCGCTGCCCAGATATTCACTTTTCATCATCCAGTAGAAGTCTTATTGTCAGGCAAAACGGCTGGAGCTTTGGTTGTTTATCTCACAGTCTTTGATTTTGTAAGGAGCTGTACCATAACTATTAGAAACTGAAACAGACTTTCAGAAAAAGATTTGCATTGTATACAGATAGGTTTGAATTTATATTAGTGAACCCTACCTCTCCCCAAGAAGCCCGTATGAGTGGTGCTCATAGTAAATAAAATTTTCTCCTACTCTACTCCTTACTTGCCTTGAGTTCATTAGCACTGAATTTTGTTCAACTGACATAAATGAACTTGCCTAGTTTTTCTTGATGCCAATAAAGCATGGGGCGCAATATATATATATATATATATATATATATATATATATATATATATATATGACTGGAAAGATATTGGTAAACATATCACAGGTCGCAGTTTGATTATGCTATCTTCTTAGAAAAATGGGTTTATTTAAGGTGATGTTCATCGCGAACATTTAATACTAATTGCCTGCTGACCTGAGATACTCAGAATGTATGAAAGCATCATCTTGACCACTGTTTAAGATTTATTGATCGATTTGCTTAGAATACCTATCACACCTAAAGTGAACTGACATTAACTCGTCTTTTTATGGTTAACGATATCAAAAATAAACTTTATTGATGAATGCCAGACATCAAAGGACTTAGTTCTCTAGTTTTTCTGCAGCTGTCTATAACCATCAAAAATTTACTTGTTGAGTAAAAAGTGGAACACATTACAGTATCAAGTAATATAACGTCATAGCAATATTTCTCACTCAAATGATAAATTATGACAGTGATGTAGACTTAAAAACAATTTCATTTATTGTTTAAAAGCCACTTAAGATATTTAAGCAACCTCTACATAGGAACAGTTACTGTAGGATTTCAGTGATAGAAAGATTTATAACCCATTGGTCAAGTCCATAGACAGAGTGAATAAATTATCAGGTTTAAGGCTGATCGTTTCTAGGTTAGGTTGATGGTATACCTACTGTGTGACACTAACTGATCAAATCTTTGCGTGATGGCATCGAAACAGCCAGCTTTGTGCATAAACTTCATTCCGTACATTGAAGTGAAGAAAGGCATGTAGCATCAGAAGGTGTTATTGTCTAGTGTAATGACTAGCACCTGATTGCAAATGTGAATGTTAACTGCTAGTAATACTGACGGTGGAGGAAATAAGTGATTTCGGTCAGAATCCGTGTAGGAACCAGGCTATCTCTAAAACCTGAGGTACGCCTTTCGATGCATTTAAATAAGTATGAGAAAAACTAAGGGACTTCGTGTCGGTGACTTGAAACTGTTAGAAGAAAAGATAAATTTCCATCTGGAATCTTTATTAGTGAAATGACAGTGAGGATGAAGAAGAATTGAGACTCTTCATCAACAGACAAAGTGAGTCTATTAAGATATCAGATAACAATTGGCTCTATAAACTGCTCCCTAATAAGAAATAAATACTGCCTAGTACTTTTATGCTTTTCATCATCTTTTACAGTAGTTATTGGTTTTTGATTCAGAATTGTCTCAAACATATCTTGATTGGCGAGCAACAATAATGGGCTAATAAAAGTATCAGCAGTTGCTTAACTTTTTACCTGTTTTATATTTCTTGAAATGCATGGAATACATGTAGGCATTCACATTGTGATGTATCGTCACTAAAGACGACATAATTAACAAATGTTCTAACTGCTGGCTAACAGTGGAATCCAAGACGCACTTTTCATCTTAGTTTGGACGCGTCATCTGGCGTTTGAACCTACGGGAACTGGGTGCGACTGTCATTGGGAACAGCATCACTCACTAGGCTTTGAGTACGTTCGGCTGATGGGTCATAAGTCACTGCTACCTACCAAACAGACTACAAAACAGGGAATATCCGGGAAGTGTCGATACTTCCGCATAGGAGCCCATCTGCCAACAGAGGTCGAGCATTTTTACTTAGCAGTGAGAAATTACAAGTATAAATAAGTAATGTATAAGTGTTATAATGCATTGGACACCCAAGCTTTGTTCATGATAATCCATTACTACCTACAAAGATTTATTATGCTATAATTCTTGGTGCGGACAAGTCAATCATAAAAGGAATATCTTATCAGTATGGTTAATAGTGCAGTAGTTGCGTTAATTACATTTTTTGATGATTTAAAGGTCACTCTTTCAATGAATGAAACAACCAGTTAAATTTCACTAGTTTATGAAAAAGCGACTTTTCTAGCTGAAAGGGACAAGTCACTGGTTATTCCAGCAGTTGTTAGGGTGCCTTTAAAGTCACCGTTTTTCTCCGTTCGCCAAGTAAAAGATGTAGAATATATGAAACATAAGATCCGCTTTGTTCGTTGTTCAACCATTTTAAAAGTTATATTCTTTCATGAAGTAGTTAATCCAAGTTAGTTAGTTCAAGACATTAACATACCTTCCAACGATCACTTCCAAGGTATATGATGCATAATCAATAATCTGTACAGCTTGTGCATGTGACATATCCAGTGCGTCCACACCATTAATCGCCAGTACATGATCGCCTTCACGTAAGCCAGCAGCTTCAGATGGACTACGTCGTCTTATCTAAGTAAAAATGTATGTAAAAATGAAGAGAATGAAAACTAGAATTGCTGAAGATTATTTTACTCTTATAAACGGGAATACAGAATCTGGCAGATTAATTCGTTTCCTATTGTCGTACACTAAAATATTAGAGTTGGATAAAACCAAAAAGTGAGTTAAAATACTTTCAGAGAGAATAAAGGATACAAAATGACAGGTTTCAAGCAGGATAAAGAGTGGGTCTTCTAGAATTCCTTCGCCTTGCATATAACAGTTTTAGGATTTCAGGTGAAATGTTTTAATTTCCTTACATAGATCATTAGTAAGTGACTTCGTGGATGTTTCCTGCTCCTGTAGACAGCTTATCAAATCTTTTAATTCACTTTAAGTAATGGGAATCAGTTGACTGTAGTTAACATGAAAAAAAGTTTTAAAAATAATACCAAAGAGAAATTGTGTTTACCTGAATCATCGACTTATGGATCCAGCGATTCATTTACACCACCAGTGTTTACGTGACCACTGGTTGGAACTACTCTGGATTATTTAGATTCTCGGGCAAATTCAAAGAATTTGCTGTTCTTATAATATTTGGTTCGTAGTCTTTAATTTGGGGTTGCTTTTAACTCTTGTGACTGCAGCTTTCTGGTTTCTCTTAGTCACACTAACGTAAGCTGTTTTTCAACTCGTTTTGATGCCACAATAGACTAGATCTTCAAATGGTGAAGAATATTTGTGGCTTGGGTGGATAGTCTTGGTTGTAATATGTTGTTTAGTCGTTGACTAAACAACCCATCTCAGAGAACACAACACAACCAAGAAACTAGATCTTCGTTAATGAACCTGGTGTGTGTGAAATTCGGAAACATCTACCACCACTGAACGCAAATTTCTGTATGATACATGTTCCGCCAGAAATTTGTGGCAAACTGCTGAAAAATACTTTTACATACCAAACTGAGAAAACCATACCATGCAGCTTTACATATGACGACATACTCAAGCTCCGATGCATGTTACAAAACAGAATTTGACACATTTGAAAATGGTGCTTTGGATGACATAATAGACGTTGTTATGTGTTATCTTGAATTTTGTCTAGATATTTGGTGCTCAGCTGAAGTGTGTTTGCAAGATTTGATACAGTCTTCCCTACAATTAAAAAGACTGCTAGGAAAAGAAGAAAAATTGTACAAATCGAAGGGTATTACTGGTGTTAAACCACCTAACTTCCTGAATAAGTATGAAGAAAAACACCTAAATTTAGCTTATAACCGGAAGATTATGTCCTGTAAGACCCTTCTGGTATATGGGGACTTCCTAATGATCTTGCTGACAAGAGGAAACCCAGGAACTTTGCTCGCTTAAGCGTCTGTACAATTAGTAAGTCATTTATTCGTAAGCTTGCTAGTGTTATCTAGTTCTTCACACATAATGGAAGGCAGTTTTCCTCATTTCAATGAAACAAATGTGTTTAATCGTTTGAAATCATTTAAACCTTTTTAAAACTCAGGACCAGATGACGTGCCAGTGATTTTATTTAGCGAGTCTGTTGATATTCTGTGTCATGCACTCATAAAAATGTTTATGAGTCCCGTGACAAGAATAATGTACCGACCACCAGGGAGGAAATTAAAATAGTTCTGTACCTAAGTACGTATCTTCTGGAACAATTGTGAAATTCCCACCAATCTGAAGAACTTCACCATTCCTAAAAACAATGAAAAAACGTATACTCCTTATCTTCTGACCTCCATTAGAGGCTTTTGACAACTGAAATCAATTTGTTTACAAATCAAGAAGAAGTAATTTAGATGGCACAGTTGTTTTACATCATAACATTATCGCTAGTTTGAAAAATGATGAAGGGTATGTTAGATATACCATCTTAGATCATACTTCTGCCTTTGTTTTTGTCTCTAGACCCCCTTTTCATTTCACAAGCTTGCCAGAACTCACACTGAGTACTGGATTACAAAATGGTTTCATCCTGACTTTTCTGAGAGGAGATAATACACTCTATGCAGAGGGAAGCTATCTACTTCGCTGCTTGTTGGAACCGTAATGCCCCAATGTCTTGTTCTTTCTCTTTTTCTTTCTTTCTTTTCTTATGACCTGGTCTTGCTTGAGTGGCCAGATACTCATTCACTACAAATATTGGATGGTTAATTTCAGCCTGAGATGTGAATAAGACTTATGTGAACTACTTCAGTCCTATGACTTTTGTTTTATCCATACTTTCGTTGTTGAGAATGTATCAACGGTGATCCATCTTGGCTTATACTTTTCTGATGATTTTTCTTGATCCTCTCATATTTCACTGATTTTGTATAAGAAAACTGTGACTGTCTGGCATAACTCAGGATCTACTGTTACGTTTCGTTAATTCCTGCGTTTTGCCTACACTTATTTGTTATTCCCCTTTTTCTTTTCTGGACTCTGGAAAAAGGAACGTAGTGTATTGCCTAGAGTTTTGAAGGCTGTCATCATAGGAGGTGGTACACCGTTAACCATACTGATGAGTGTGATTGTGCATAAGCATCTGAACTCTTGTAAACAGCTGACTAGAAGTATTTCATCTGTTGACAAGCATCCTCTTCATCCGCGCCACTCTCCATACCTACCCTCAGGGAAGATAATAAGTACATACATAGAACTTTATGCACATAAAACTACATACGAAAATCCAACCATATCTTGTTTAGGTTGTGTATTGTGGGAAAAAAAGTATGTAAGAAATAGTCTTATCAATCAACTTTGTAATAGCAAACGGGTATCGTGACCCCTAAGTAACTGAACATTTGTACAATTCTCCTATTCTTCATTGTATTCTGTTAACCAGTACCACTTTAACCACATTTTTGAAAAATTTTGTACAACGATTTAACTAATACAATACCACATGCTGCGAATCCTGTACTGTAGACATAATTGTTGTCCAAAATAAGGCAAATAAATTACAAAGAATAACCTACTAATTAATGTTTTCAGTCAAATATTTTGGAAGTTAATACTTGTCAATGAATTCTAAATATATTTTGCCACTATTCCAATCTTTAAACTTATTTGCCAATTCAAATTTATTCCATCAAGGTCGTGATCTTGTGGTATAAGGCCTAGATATTTATACGTTAAGGGAAGAGTTAGGCGTGGACAAACAAAACTAAACACCACTTGGGGAAATGAACATTTAATTCATTTTTATTTACAGACTAAACTATCCACATCAGATAGATGTTAAAACTGAAGTCCTGTCAAGCTTGTTTAAAAGCAACATTACTAGTGGTGTACCTACATTAATCCAGCTCATAGAAGTGTGTCGCTCCGATCAAATGAATATGATCAACAAAAATGGATGAAACGGTAAACTACGAATTAAGTGATAAATTTGTGAATTCGTTACATATTGCTGCTATGAAAAACATCAAACTGAATTGGGTAAATATTTTGCAAACAGATTTTCCAATTCACATATGATAAATCTCTTACCATTAAAAAGATGATGGAATAATCAAGACTTGTGTAGTTTACATTACAAGCCTATTCATTGTGAAACTGAGTAATTAAGCCCAACTGTTCATATGATTCCAAGTCCTTTTCGGAGATTTAATTTCCATCCATTTATTCGCAAATTCGTTACCCTTACCTAGGAGTTGAGCTTCACAACTGACACTGTCTCCGAGTAAAAAGTGATACCTACTATTATGAAAGACAACAGGCATGATACGGACTTTCTGTTCTTCTAGTCACCATATCAACATTTTATGAACATATGAATTACCGGGCATATCTAAGTTGCGATTATTATTATTATTATTAGTCCCTTGGGTTCCTAGTGGAACATAGGGCTTCAGTAGCACGCCTCCAGTGAACTCTGTTCTCTGAGATCTTTTGAACCTGGTCCCACGACAGCCCACAACCTCTCATTTCCTCTTCGCACGACCTCCTCCATGTCACCCCCTCGGACGTCCAACTCGTCGCTTCCCATGGGGATTCCACTCGACGGCCTGACGCGTGATGTCCTCAGTCGGCCTTCTCAGTGCATGGCCAATCCATCTCCACTTCCTCCTGCATATTTGTTGCGTGATAGGTTCTTGGTTGGTTCGTTCCCAGAGTTCCTTGTTGCTTATTTTTTCTGGCCATCTGATCTTCAGCAGCGAGCGTAAGCAGTTGTTGATGAATGTCTGTAGTTTATTGGAAATACCTTTCGTGACGCGCCAAGTCTCTGAACCATACAAGAGCACTGACTTGACGTTGGTGTTGAAAATCCGTATCTTGTTCCACATGCTGAGTGCAGAAGATCTCCACACTGGTTTCAGGCTAATGAACGCCTGTCTTGCCTTTCCGATTCTGACTTTGACGTCCTCGTCCGTCCCGCCTGTAGTTGAAACAGTGCTTCCTAGATAAGTGAAGGAGGTTACTTCCTTCAAGTTTCTCCCGTTGACGGTGATTGGAGTTTGTTGTTGTTGTTGTTGATGGTGGTGGTGCGGTATCTTCATCACTTCTGTCTTCTCTATATTCACCTGAAGTCCCGTCTTGGCTGCCTCTTCTGTCAACTTGTTAGTTTTTGCCTGCAGATCTTCAAGTTTATGTGACATTAGGCATAAGTCATCGGCGAAATCCAAGTCTTCTAGGTTCTTTTCCGCAGTCCAGCCAGTGTATCCCCCTCTTCTCGCTGCCTACTGTTTGCTGCATGATCCAGTCCACCACAATAAGGAATATCATGGGGGATAGTAGGCAACCTTGTTTCACTCCTGTCTTCACTTCAAAGGCATCACTGAGCTTCCCATTGTGAATTACTTGGCATGTGGCATCTTCATATAGTTGTTGAATGAGGCGGATAAAGGTTTGCGGTACTCCGTAGTATTGAAGCAGTTTCCAAATTACTTCTCGGTCGACGCTGTCAAAGGCCTTCTCAAAGTCGATGAAGTTGAGGTAGAGAGCTGATTGCCATTCTATGCTCTGTTCTATGATGATACGAAGCGTTGCAATTTGGTCGGCACATGATTTGTACTTCCTGA